CGGTCCGTTCTACCTGCTCGTGATCGATTAGCCGATAATTTTCAAACACCCTGTATATTGGGTATGGGAATAAGTTTCCGCCCTTTTTGAAAAGAAAAAGATGTGTTTATTTAAACAAATCTATATAAGTGAGTTTATTCAAAATATGCTCCTTCGGAAGCGACAACTTCTCCCACTTTTCCGGTAATAAACGGATTCCTCGAATAAAAAAAATCTGGTTCTTTTGAAGCGATCCATTCATCAAGCCATTTTTTGATATCTTCATAAGAATTGAATCGTTCTCCAGAAAGGGCCGATTGCATGGATCGGAACAAATGGAAATCTGAAGGAGCAATGTCCGGTGAATACGGCGGGTAGGGCAGAATTTCCCACTTTACTCCTTCCAAATATTTCTTGACCGGTTTTGCAACGTGTGGCCTAGTATTGTCATGTAACAGAATCAGCTTGTTGTCCCATTCCGGTCGTTTTTCTTTCAAAGCTTGGTTTAAACGTATCATCAGTTGTAGTCGATAACGATCGCCAGTGATGGTTTCGGACGGTTTGAGCAGCTCATAATATATAACACCTCTCTGATCCCACCAGATGCACAACATAATCTTCGAAGCATGGATATTTCGTTTTGGCATTGATGGACCTGGCATCACCCTTTCAAGCGTTTAGGGTTATCGTAGTAGATCCATTTTTCATCGCCAGTTACGGTACGATGTAGAAAACCCTTCCTTTGTTGTCGTTGACGAAGCATCTCGCAGATGACCAAACGTCTTTCCATGTCTCTCTCTTTCAATTTGTATGGCACCCAATTTCCTTCTTTTTGCACCATTCCCATTGCGTGTAGACGTTTTCCAACAGTGGATTTATCAACATTTAACTCTTTTGACAACCTATCGAGCGATAAACATTATCTTCTTCGAGTAATGCTTGCAATTTTGCATCTTCAAATTTTTTCGGTGCATCTTCGCGTTCTTTGTCACGCACGTCAAAATCACCACTGTTGAATCGCCGAAACCATTCTTTACAACTGGTTTTCGATGGAGCATGCTCACCGTAAACATCTACGAGCAAACGATGCGATTCTGCAGCACTTTTCTTTAAAATAAAATAATGGAGTAAAACTTCCCGCAAATGTTGCTTTTTTGGAATAAATTCCGACATCTTCAACGCAAAAAAAGTTGACTCTTTTTTACGCTTCGAACGAATAGCAACTATTGGACTCAAAAGTTTGAACACAAACCTTTCAAACACATGTGTTGCCGTTCTATCAAACACACAAGCAATGTTATTAATGACATCTTTCTACAATGGGCGGAAACTTATTCCCATACCCAATATATATATATATATATATAACGATTCAATAAATATATTTAAAAGTATATACCGCTAAACGTACTTATTGTCTTATATAATTTTTAAATCGCATGAAACGGGCTTAAAATGATTAAAATAATCAACGGGATCATAAAGAAACAGAAACTTGGTGTGTATAAATATAAGTTTTTTTTTTAAATATTTATTGCATATTTTTTAATACATTTATGTATTTGGCGTATCTTTTTATCATTGTAAAGTCTTTTTTAAAAGATATTCTTTTATTAAAAATTTGGTCCATTATATTTCTATATTTTATAAAAATATAATAGGACGGGGCGAAGGATTAGAAAGTAAAAGCGGAAGAAAAGTAAAAAGATTCGACAATATTATTTCAATATATTGAATTTTATTAGAAAATTCTTTTATTTAGGCTACAACATGTAATATAATTGCGTTTGGTCTAGACCCTTATCAAAAGAAAAAGCTAAACTGCACCATGTTTACTATAGTCTTATCGAACCACTTTGCTAATTTACGCCTCGAGGAAAAAACAATGAAGACAACGTGAAGTAATTGTATGACGTTTCCAACATTTTCAGCAAATTTAAAAATAAATTATGTGTCGCATTTTATAATACTCAATTTTCTGACAGTTAGCAACTGTTACGTATCAAAATACGTTCAAAATATTCATTTATATATAAATTTATGTCAATGTTAGAGAATATTCCGCTAAATGCAATGTTACGCACAAAAAAACATAGATTTAGAAAATGTACGAAATCTCTGAATTGAATGCATATATTTCAATATATACCTATATGTACTTATAAAGATATACTATCAATGATCTTTACTGGTATCTTCATCTTATCTGAACAATACGCTTGACAATACAAAGAACGATTTAGCGCACCAGCGAGCTCAATACATTTCTTTGAAAATTCGAGAAAATACAAATTTTACTTTCTCAATTCTCAGATTAATATTAATTTTTAAAAAATACAGGTCGCTAGTGTGCTGAATCAGTCAAATTTTTAAATAACCATCGCTCCTAATTAATTGCTCATAACTGATGCACATATTATAGAAGGTCGTCGATCAAAAAAGTCTTACTGAATATACAATTTCCGATTTGAATCAAATAAATCTTTATGATTACGAATCATCATCAATATATTAAATCGCAGGTCAATCACTCCTGCCCGATTGCACGTTAAAGAAAAAGAAGACAGCAATAATCGCTTTCATGATAGAGCTGGTTCCTCGAGGCGCAGCCTAAGAACCAGCGGCCCCAAAGACATGCTGTGCCTAAAGAAGAAGACAATAGTGATTGTACATCGAACTGCGTACAATCGATATACATCGTAATAGGTGTAAAAATAATAAAATTAGTGGTAGTAAACCCCTCTATTACATTATACTGCATGTAGAGTCTGTGTACATGTCTGTGGGTGTTTCATACGTGTATATGTGTGTAACCGTTCGATTCGGTCGCAAAACGTTCAACGTAGTAAAGGAAACTCTCCCAAGCAAGCTAATCCTAAGATAATGTAATATCCTTTTCTTGTTTATTTATATAGCTTCTATTTATATTAGGTATGCATGTACGTGTGATAACTAAACAGATACATGATTTCTTCTTCTTCTTCCGTCGCATGCGGCCACTAGCGGCCTTAACTTCAAAGAGCAGGAGGCTGTCATGATCATCTATAACATTCGAAAAATTGAAACTTAAACTTCGCGTTCAGCGAAGTTTACTACCAGCCACCAGTACATTTGCGTCTGTCCAATGGACATCTCGATCTATCTCGATTTCCTTCCTGCACTCAAGATTGGCCGATATTCACATACTTGGTCTTAATATGATTATTCGCGTAATATAAAGATCGAAAATACATCAAATTTTAATTAGTTACGTATCTTTTTTTGCTATTAGAAAGAATCAGAATTGACTAATATTAAAATTAATTAATGTTAGTCAAATCGATCCAAAAAAGATTTTTGATAGTCATTTTTTTAAAATCCTTTGAACATTTATATCGACCGATCATTCTATCTACATCATACTCACTCCAGTGAAAGTAGTTTTTACGTTGGACGAAATCCAAATTCAGATAGATCATATACAACACTTAATGTAAATATTATAGATAAGGATATAGATACTGACGAAGTGGGAGTGCAGAAAGAAACATCAGGTAGTGTGAACGAGTTAGTTGTCCTTTAAATCACGCACCATACACACCGATAATATAAACTACTTTTAAATTAAAATTACTTCAAAAAATATAATTATTCCAAATTATATAATTATATGTAATTTATATTATTATATTATATAAATAATATATATAATTCTATTTTTTCTATTGAAAGACGGCACGATATACATAAAATATTTGCACATGTCTGAATAAATCAAAATCATAGACGTAGGATTATGTAAATAATGCATGCCATGACATAATAACATTTTTTCATGCATCGCCAATTACGCTAACAGCTGGTTTTGTTAAAATCCATTTTGTTTATTTTTCACATAAGATACATTTAAAGCAGCCTCCTGTTCTTCAATATAACTATATTAATGGTTTCTCATAGAATTATCAAGTAAAATTTGTAAAATACAATATACTGCCTATTATAAATTCTTAATCTTTTTCTTTATAAATAATTATAGTAATAGTCACACTGTTTGTTAATTTATAATATTCAGATGTCATTCTTTTGAATTAAATTTAAATATTACATTTGTGCCCTTTCCGCACTAATTTTTGTAGTATTTTGCATGACTGCATGTGTTGTGTGTATATATAATACATGTAATACATAATCTAAAGGACTTACGGAATATTTACAATATGTACATGTTAATAACGATGTCGTTCAAAATTACTCGATAATTTTTATTCCTTTCTTGTCATTATTAATGATCATCAATTTATCATTTTTTTTCTTCCACAGGATACACTACCATTTCGCGAAGAATGAATATTTCATTCTCACCCTAAAACTTTCTGGAGATAACTTCATTTGAATTTTCAGCGGATTATAATAATGAATAATGGTAAAAAATGGTTCTGGCCAGATCTTTCATCTTATCATAGACGAAAAATGACCGTTATGTCTTCATTTAAAGTTTTTACGGTCGTATGTCGTTGCATACAAATCCAATTAAACTGAAAACTAATTACAGAAAAACTTACAACTCTTAAAAAATAGGCTCCGCCATGTTACTATGATTCCATTCGCTCTACACTTGGCCAACCTTAGATTTGCCTCCGGCGGCGTAAGAAGTGCAAGGATTACAGGACAACTGTTTGCTTTAGAGGTCGAAGAGGAAGACTCTACAGTTTTATTTCCACGTGACATACGCACTAATATCCTTGAAAAGTTAGATCATCCAAAGTTCGTATTCTACTTCGTGCGTCTACGTTACCACTTTTCCCTCTGTAGCAAAAGTTGCGGTCTTACCTGGGCACGCTCCCCCTACCTAATGATTTAGGGTTGGCCAAGCTCTCACTCATGCTACGAATCGAGATCGTCCTCTCTCTGGCTACTAAAGTAAGATACCAGGCCGCCAAATTCGCCGGTCCCATGGTCTTCATCATTCGGATGCGATTGCTGCGATGGCGCCTGAGGCGGTCCTTGAATCGGTGGTTGGTTGTCTGCCGGCGAGGAGAAATGCTCCGAGGGATACGGTGAACTCTGGTAGGCAGCTGCATCGTCTGCTGTAGACATTGGCGGAGGCGGCGGATAGGCACCGTAGTGATAATTAGGTGGCGGAGGCGGATGATACGGCGAAAAATTACCAGGCGGTCGATTGGGAGGTGGTGAAGGTTGCTGCATATTGTGATTTACAGGCGAGGCATTAGTAAACGGCGGCATCTGATGCCTGGGTCCCATAGGATTCTCGGCAAACCTAGCCATTGGTGGACCACCCCGTACATATGGTGGGGGTGGCGGCGGCGGCGTTGGACCGCCCTTGGCCAGTGGACTGCCGGCCGATGGTGGAATCATCGCCGGTCCGCCGGGCGTCAAGGGCGAACTGCGATCTCTATTGGTAATGGAGATCGGTCCGCCACCCGATGGGGATGGGTCCATTGGATGGTGTGGCGTGTGATACATTTGCGGCCCGGGTACTCGCATACGCATTGGTGGCGTACCCGATCTGACCGCGGCAAAATGCGGTGACATAGATGATTGACCCGCCTGTCTATAAGGTGACGGGATCCTGGCACGTGGTTGCATCTCGTATCCCGTTCGTGGACCACCCATTATCTGTCCACCAGCGTTGGGTCCACCGAAATATTTGTGACCCATCGCTGCCGCCGCCGCGGTGAATGACTGTGGAGTGCTGGAAACCGGTTGGGACTGAAGCATTCTTGTGATGACGGAAGACTGTTGACCAGATAATGATGGATAAACTGGCTGCGAATTTGGCGACTGCGTCGATGGAGGGCCTGGTGTAGGTACGGTACTCGCTGGTGGTGTGGAGGGCGCCGAACCAGATGTACTACTACCTGGCGTAGGAAGAACGTTTGGTATATCATTCTGTTTCATATCTGAATTCGAGTCAGTACCCATGCCGATCAAACCAACTTCCGCCGCGGCTTTAGCTGCCGCTTCCGCGGCTCTAGCCGCCTCCATTGCAAGAGTCTTCTTGCCTTTGCCGCGACCTCGTCGTTTCGGCTTCACTGGAATGCCATCCGGATTGAAAAGTTGTCCATCTGGTCCAGTCATAAGAGGCATGTGTCCTCCTTCGACGCTCCTATCTGTTTCTGGCGTTAGACCCGTAGATAAGGTACCAGGATTCATGTTGTGTGACATATTACTCACGCCATCCGGCGTACCAACTCCACCGATGGCCGAAGCCGGCGCGATGCCCAGATTTGACGCACCGTCCCTGCGCATCTGTTCAGCGAGGATCTCGGCTTTGCTGCGACGTCCACGCTTCTTTTTCTTGGGCACCTCACCGTCCGTTCCCTCGGGTGCGTTGGAATCTCTCTGCCTCTCTGCCGCTAGTATCTCCAGAGCCTTCAAACGCGCTTTCTCCAACTTCTTAGCTTCTCGTTCCTCCTTTTTCTTCTTCTTTGCTATTTCGATTGCCGCTAACTCCAGCTGTCGACGTCCGTACTCTTCATCCATCATCATCTGCTCGAGCTGCTCATCATCTAGATCAGCCAACTCTCCGGCACCAAGACCTGTTAATGAACCTTCAGGAACGTCTCCGGTAAACGAACTTGCTACTGACATCGTCGTGCCTGCCAGTCCTACATTATCTGGAAGATTCTCATCAATTTTAGATGCTATGTCACCAATAGGATTGTCCATAACTGCGCCAATCATGTCTCCATCCATGTCATCCTTCAATTTTTGTTTGCGTCCTCTGTTCTTGCTTCCTGGCTTCGGTCCAGGTTTCTTTCTTTGCTTCGGTACGTCATCAGATAATGACTTACGTTTTGCTGCAGGGCTTTTACTATTACGTGATTTCTTTGTCTTCAATGACTTCTTAAATTTTAGAGCATCCTTCTTAGGAATATAATTATCTCCTAAAACATTCAATCAATATCTATAATTGCATAATCATTATTATTTATATTTGTACATTAGATGAAATATTTAATAAATTATAGTAATTTTCAGAAATAATTTCTTTTGTAATTCAAAAAATGAGTTGTATGTTGTATAATACCAATATCGAACGACAATTAAAAATATAAAAATTAATTAAGTCATTATTAAATCGCTCTAAAATCTTAGTGAGCCATTATTATATGTCAGATGAAAGTCATAATAGATAAAATGCATGAATAATGCACTTTATTTAATTTACACATTATACTGCGTATATTCTCGTCAACGTATAAAATGAATAAAATTATGTTCCTCTTCTCTCTAGTCAATTCATAATTAATTACAGTTATAACTTAAATTAATTAGAATATGTTTTGGAGACAAAACTGGATATTTATTTACATAAAAAAGATAAAACACTTTAATTAAAGAATATAAAAAATAAACAGTCAAACTATATTTAAGGAAAAGTCAGCATAATTTAATTAAAATTTATAAAATTTACAATTTCTGAGACAATTTTGCCATTAGTTGTCAAATTAGATGAATTATATAAGGAGTTGAAAAGGTAAGGATGGTCATAAGTTGAGAGGAAAGGAGAAAAAATTAGTAAAAAGATAATAGGTTTAGGATAGGAAACTGTTTGTCCAACCCATAGTCTTACCTTTTAATATAGTTTTAATTGTCAGGAAATAAGGACCTTAAACGGTCAAGCTAAATCTTTAGTACTGAAATAATTCTGCGCGAATTTATATACTACATATATGTAGACCTTTTTAAACTGCATTCCGAAATTGTTTCCGATCTTGAAACACAAGCCGATTGAACTGCTGTAGTAATATAATATCACAAATTAAATTGACAAACAATTTAATAATTTAATGTTTATACACGTAACCTTTAGTATGCATACAATTAAACAATAATAAGATTTTATTCGGACCGACAGGAAATTAAATACTAAGTATAAGCATATTCGGGCCTATGACGGTCAAAGCTAGATCTTTTTTTTGCTTAAATAATTCCCAGTGAATTATCTATATTCTATATATGTACATGCATATATATCATATTTTTGTAGTTATTCAAACTGCGCGCCGAGATTTTTCCGGACTTTATCTAACGTAATTAAAAACTACTGCAATAATATCACAAGTTAAATTAAATTGACAATGTGCTGAAAACCTTAAATAAATTTATTGCGAAAAATATTACCTCGGCCGGGACTTGA